TCACTGGGCCTCACACAAACGGAGTCAGGTAGGCTAGCACCCCGGCTTCTCTGCCCCACAGCCTTTTCTTAGGAAGGAATCATCAGCACCCGATTCCCTGGGCCGGCTGCTGAGTCCCCCGCTGTGGGCTCACGCTCTCTCCCCCGCCTCCTTCCCGGGGCTCCAGCAAGAGGAGGGACATAGCAACCAACACGAGCTGTAACACAGCAGGGCCGGCCGCAGTCACGCCTGGTTCGCCTTGGAGCCAAATGAGGAGCAGGCACACGTTTGCCACTACAGCTTCGTCCACTGTGGGCTTTGGCAAGCGTGGCATTGGGGCGGCAGGTCCGAGCCCGGCACAGAGCTTCACACGGCAGGGACTCAGTAATCCCAGCTATTCAGGAAGCTGAGGCAGGAGGATCCAAGGATCCAGCCCAGCCTGGGCAACTTAGTGAGACCCTGACTCAAACAAAAAATAAAGGGCCAGGGATGTAGATCAGTAGTGCCGTGCCTTCCTGGCAAGCGCAAGGTCCTGAGTTGGGGGGGGGGGCGCTGAGGGGTTATTGAAACTTTTACTGGGCCAAGGAATGGAAAAGTTACTGGGGGAACTTGTGGTTGGCACAGTCCCAGCACTTGAGAGGCTGAGGCAGGAGGATCGAACCAAGTTTGAGGCCAGGCTGGGCTACATAGTGAGACCGTCTGAAAACAAACAAGACACTGGGAGATGTAGGAAGAGGAAGGAAAATGAGAATCTACTATGAGGGAGAGGGCCCTACAGTGGGCCACGGGGGACTGGAGGCCAGGTGTGGGCCAGGGTGCAAGGAGGGCCTGCTGGTAGCCACAGGAGAGGTCGTGGGGGACCAGTGTACCCACGGGGGCTTTTGTAGAGGAGACCCTCACATCCCACACAGGGGCGCAGGACCTGGGTCCCCAGGGAGGGCCGAATGGGGGGGGGCAGGACAGAGGTGGGGGGTGGCACGGGGGTGTGCTAATCCCCGAGGGCGGTGGTGGGCCAGCTGCATCCGCAATGTCCCTGGGCCTAGGCTTGTGGTGTGAGCTAGTGCCCTTCTCGTCCATATTGGCTTCCCCTAGCACTGGGCCTGGCTCGTAATCTTAACAGCGTGGTCAGAGTCGTCCTCACTCCACCTGTGGGGCTGGTAGTGACCCTGTCCTTTGCCGCATGTGCATGGGGCACTGGGCCAGCCGGAGAAGAGCTCGCTATGCGGCACTTCACCGTTCTTATCCTCCCGGCCCCCATGCAGTAGCACCTGCTTCTGTTCTGAGGCCACCTCCAAGCAGCAGCTCTGTCCCTCAAGAAGTTGTAAATGAATAAAGGTTAGTGATGCGATCTTACACAAATTGTGAGTTGTCACCGTGCGGCTGACAAGGAAAACTGCATGTATCCGGGCGTGGTGCCACACATCTGTAATCCCAGCACTGGGGAGGCTGAGGCAGGAAGATCGCTGTGAATTTGAGGGCAGCCTCGACAATTTATCGAGACCCTGTCTCAAAATTAAAGAGCTGGAGAAGGGCCAGGGAGTTAGCTCAGTGGCGCTGCATCTGCCTCGCAAGCGTAAGGTCCTGAGTTCGATCCCTGGTACTGCCAAAAAAAAAAAAAAAAAAAATCCAATTAAAGAGCTGGAGATGTAGCTCAGTGGAAGGCCCTGGGCTCAATCTCCAGTACCACAAAAGAAAAACACAAACACATGTAAGTTTTCTGCCACACAGAGAAGTCCACTTGTAGATATCTGAGTAGAAAAGGGCGCCTCAGATTCCCAGGTGATGGGTAAGGTCTCCGTCGCGCTCGCCAGTCAGTGTAGTCATGTGCACCATGTATGCTGACAACCTGAAACGTGGCTAGTGCAACTGAACAACTTTAATTCAAATACCTGCACACTGCTAGTAGCTACTGAATGGGTCACACAGGCATAGCACCCCTGTAGGGGCAGAGAGCAGCCTCGATTTGGTAGCAGCCTGGCTCTTGTAGCAACATCAGGAAGTCATGTACTGTTGTGTTGTTGTCCATATGCCGGGCGTGATGGTGCACCCGTCATCCTAGCACTCAGAGGGCGAGGCAAGAGGATCTCTGCGAGTTCGAAGCCAGCCTGGGCTAGTGAAATCCTGTCTCAAAAGACAAACAAACAAAAAAGTTGTCTCTCCCCCTCTACCTTCTATTATTTTGTATTCTGTATTCCTGTCTTGAGACCTTTCCCACTAACCTATGAGCCATTCAGTCCACTGACTTTTCTTCCTCTCTTTAACTTCTAAGAAGTGTAAACTGAGAAGGAACAGAGTATCTAGACTGGTACAAATCCTGCAAGGTGATCAGTGCCCTAAGAAATGTTTTTGTTTTGAGGATCTCGCTATGGTTATGGTCAGTTTAGGGCTGACCTTGAACTCACTCTGTAGCCCAGCTGGAGGCTGAACATGCCACCCTCCTGCCTCAGCCTCTCAGGTGCTGGCCCAGGGGTATATGCCATTGGCCCGACTCCATAAATGAAAAGTCAAATCAACACCCACATGATCTGTCCAGCTGATGAGAGGGTGAAACTGTTTAAGGCTGGGGGTGGCGTCCCCTGCCAGCACGCCCCGCAGTTTAAGTACTTCCTCCCAGGCATCATCTTGACCAGCCACCAGCAGCAGTCGTCCTCCAGGGCAGGCGCAGATCATGGCAGTCAACCGCGTTCTGGGAGCCAGGTGTCACCCTCCCTGGCAGACACCCACGTGCGAGCGGGGCCCCGTGTGCTGCTGACATCGGGTCTCCTTGCTGCTTCACTTGCCGGTCCCCCTTGGGTGGGTACTGAGTGCTGTAACGAAAGAACCTTCCCACAAAAACAGCTGCCAGACTCTAGCGTGTGGGTGCCATGGTAGAGCACCTGCCCAGCAAGTCTCAGGCCCGGGGTTTGACCCCAGCCCTGCCCACCCCCCAAGAAAGATTCGGTTCTCATCAGCCAGTTTGTTTTTTCTTTTTTTTTGGTACCAGGGATCGAACTCGGGACCTTGTGCTTGCAAGGCAGGCACCAGAACCAGAGCTAAATCCTCGGCCCTATCAGCCAATTTATTAATCAAAACTGATGTTGTAAGTATAAATGCAATGCTATAAACATTACCAAAAGCTTAAAAAATAAAATTAGTTGGCCTAAAATCTGCATAATTTAAAAAAATTTTCTTTTAGAGACACAGTCTCTACATAGCCCAGGCTGGCCTCAAACTGGTGGCAATCCTCCTGCCTCAGCCTCCTGAGTGCTGGGATGACAGGTGTTGGGCCACCGCACCTGGCTCTCCATAAAATGTTTCTGATGACATTCTAGAAACTTTGGGGGTTATAGAATTCAAAGAATCAACTCAAATCTGAAGATCTCCTCTTTTAGTTCCCAAAGTGCACACAACGTGGAGATAGGTATGTATTTTTCAAACATCAAAGTGTCTTTGCTTCTGAAACTCATCTTTTTCTTTCTTTCTTTTTTTTTTTTTTTTTTTACTGGGGATCAAACTCTGGTCCTTGCCGCTGAGCTAAATCCCCAGCCCTGAAACTCATCTTTTGAAAGTTCAGAACTCACTCCCCACTGACCCAGAAAGCTGCTGCTGTTCCTCAGGGTGACAGTCCCCAAGAAGCAACAACACATATCTACCTTCCGAACCCTCTGGTTTCCACTAAAAGTTTTTAGCCAGAACGTGTTACGGAGAAGGCAAAACCACAATATCTAAAGCTCTTCCCCGCCGGCTCTGCCTGGCCCTCCAGGGAGGATGTGGCAGTCATTTGCAAGGATGCGGGTTTTGGAGGCTGGGAGACCTGGGCTGACAACCTGCTTCTGAAGGTTATGTGCTGTAAAATGAATTCACCTAACTTTTCTGAGCCTGCTTTCTCATCTATAAAATGGGAACATTATTTATGATAGCAAGCTATTTTGGAAGATAATTTATTTTAAAAATCTGACACAGGCCCTGGCAGAGCACACACACCTGGAATCCCAGCGCTGTGGAAGGCTGAAGCAGGAGGAGCACAAGTCTGAGCCGAGCCTGGGCAATTTAGGGGCTGTCTCAGTCACTTTCTCCTGACACACAATACCCAACACAAGCCATTTAAAGGTTGGTGGCTCCAGGGCAGAAGTGGCTGGGTGGAGGGAAGCTGCTCAAGTGGTGGTGGCCAGGAAAGAGCGCAAGAGGGAGGAGCTGGGGAGGAAGAGAAACTTCCTGGTTCCACAGGAAGGACCCGCCCCGGCTCAGCGGCCAGCTGTGCCTCCTCACCAGGTGAACACTTTGTTTTTTTAATTCTTTTTATTTTTTTTGTGGTACCGGGGAATCAAACTCAGGACCTCAGGACCTTGCACTTGCAATGCAGGCAAGGCACCACTGAGCTAAATCTCCGGCCCCTTTTTGGTTTTTTGGGGAAGGGTCTTGCTGTGCAGTCCAGGCTGGCCTTGAACTCACTAGGTAGCCCAGGCTGGCCTCAAACTTGCTGCAATCCTCCTGCCTCAGCCTCCCAAGTGCTGGGCCAATCACCTTTTAATGCCCCACCTATGGACAGGTGAGGCTCTGGGGGACATCTAGATACAAATCATAGCAGTGACTTGGCAGGACCCTGTCTCAAAAAATACTAAAGAGCTGGGGACATAGTTCAGTGCAAAAGGGCTGGTTCAATCCCCAGTACTGGGGAAAAATCCAACACAGAAACAGATGGATTAAGGCAGCGGTAGTGAACCTATAGCACGCGTGCCACAGCAGGTTGTTATCACTGAAAGCATTAAAAGGTTTGTCATCACTGGATTAAGGCCTCAGTCCCAAAGCATCAGGGTGAAAACAACCCTCCATGGAGGGAGGCCAGGAGGCTCCGGGCTCTGCGCATCCTCAACTCATTTAGAGGGAATCCCATGACTCTTTTTTTTCTGTTTAAATTCTATTTAAGAATTCATGATTTACATTTTTTTAAACTCAGAAAATCATATGGTAGTAAAACTTAAACCCATACCGACAGAAATGTTTTGAATTTCTTATCAAAGAGAATAAAAGAAATCAGGACATAATTTCACATTGACATTTTTATTAACGCCAACTGTTTTTTAATTATTTTTAAAACAATAGCACAAAAATGTTTCAAGGAAGCAGTCTCACAATCTGATGACCTTCTGAAATACAGTTAAGCCACACCAAATATGAATTTCTATTAATAACAAAAAATTTTTAAAGAAAAATAAGAAAAAAAAATAAAAGAAGGGCATGAGACTCAGTTAAAACTCACTGGCTTAGACAGGAGAGGCTCGTTAGTAGGGCGCTGCTGAGCGGAGGGGCACACACGGCTTGCATCTTGTCTTGGGCCGGGCGCCTCTCCTGTGTAGGCTGCAGCTGTGACGCTGGCTCCAAGAAGCCAGGTCAGCTGATACTGTTAAGAGGGGTTGGCCGGCCACACAGCGAAGACCACTGAGCAGAGTAACTCCTTAAAAAGGCCTGGCTAAAATGCTTTAATTTCTATTGTCTCACCTACACGCATTTCAGGGTTCTTAATGTCATCTTTAAAAAGAAAGAGAAAAAAATGTATATCAGTTTCTCTTATTTAATGTGGCTATGAAAGATGTTTCCTCATTATTTCTCCATCTCTAAGAAGGACACCGGGGTCGGGGAAGAACTAAAGGGAGGAAAAACGCAGAACAGGGAAGGGTTTTTTATTGTTTTAGACATTTTTCTTTTTTGGCCAAGGGATCACACAGAAGGGAGGCAAGGAGGAAAACTACAATCCTTGGTTCAGATTGGATTATGCAGGAAAAGGTATCTTCCTGGTCAGTCCCCATGCCAAGGAAAAAACAAACCACTTGGAATATGCACAGACTCTACTATGCCACCCACCCCTGCCTCTGTGCCATCCCAGCGATCGCCACTCCAGCTGAGGTGCTTCTGGAGCCCACTTCACAAAACTCTCCTCCCAGAAGCCTCCTGGATTCCTCTCGGCAGATTAGAAAAACAGGACATCCGTTGTTAAAAGGAGAGTGTTAAATACTTTTTACCACTGACAAGGCTTCAGGAAGTTTCACAGTTTCATTATGCTCTATTTTATTACTATCATATTTACATTTTAATTTTTTTTTTTTTTGCTGAATTGCTGATTTGCCTTTCTCAATAGAATTTGATTCTGGAGTGTGAGCAGGAACCAGTTAACTACATTCATCGTCCAACCCCCACTGTGTCTGTTTGAAAGAAGACTCGAGTTCTTGGCATGTGAATCTGTTCGCAGGCGGCTCCTTCAGCCCGTCCCCATGCAGTGAGGAGCGGGACCCGGTGTTGTGGCGGCCGCTGGCTTCACCCTGGGCGGCAGTCACACTGCGGGCGCGGGCGGCAAGGCCCTCCGCTGCAGCAGGTACTGGTGGATGCTCTCGGCGTCCCGCTTCAGCCATGCGGCGTTAAGCAGGATATTTTCACAACACTGCTGGATGGTGCGCTCCGCGGAAGGGGCTGGGTGACTCTCGAAGAAAGCCTGGCAGACGGAAAGCAATCCAAAGCGTAGTCACTGCTGTCCTTCAACTACCCAGGGCCGCCTCCTGAGAGTGGCCAGTGCACTCTCAGGCTGTAGCACGCGACTCCTCGGCCTGCATGTGGAGCCCTCCCTCAGCACACAGAACAGCAGCCTGAGCCAGAGGGCCTGCTGCCCACCTCGCCCCGAGGCGCATCACCTTCCGGTGACTGGTGACAGGCTCTGGACTCATCAGTCCGGCCGGGTCAGTGTGCTGACCTGTTACGCACCTGGAGTAAGCGAGCCTCTAAGTCCCAGTTTTCCCATTTAGGATGACACTGACTGCGCAAGGTTAAAGAGACAACTGACCAAGGCACACAGCAGGGCGCCTGGCACATCCCAGAAGGACTCAATGCACCGAGGCTGCCTCAGAGATGAGCTCTTTAGGGACATAATACTAAGGAGTTTAAACTGCTGCAGTAATCCTAATAATACCCCAGTCTCTCATTTTTCCTAGAAACTATTTAAGTTATCACAATGCTTGATTAAAAGTTGTATAACCCATCTTCTAACAAAGTACACCTGGTATCATGGAAAACAAAACCACTCTTCATCGCTAGCCAGCAAATGACGGGCTCCCCTGCCAGGGCGTCATCGAGGGCGTAAAGAGAAAAGTGATTCACTCCTGTGAGCGGCTCGCTCAGGTCGGGGTCAGGGTCTGACTTCTTCCAGCGCCTTCTCAGCAAACAGCACCAGCGCTTACAACAAAATCCTGGGATTATCCTAGACTTCTTTCTCTTGGCACAACACAGAGAAGCCACTCAGTAAACCCAGGTGAATTACACATCAGCACAATCGATTCTGGAATCTCCTTCAGTCCTCCACCACCCCCACCCCCACCTCGAGCTGCGGGGTCGCTCCTGCCCGAGGGGTAGCGCCCCGACCTCTTCTCTTCCTCATTCCAGCCTCTCTGCACGGAGGCCAGGCTGACACTTTGCAACACATGTACCAGCAGGCGGCTCTCTCCCTTGTTCCTAAGCCACCTGAGCGCATTCTCTGTGCAGCCAGCTCCCGTCCACCCTTCCAGCTGTCCCAACTCCTTACATCTCTGCTTCACAGAACTCGTACCTTCACACAACAGCTGTTCACCTAACAGTACACGATGCAAAGTGAACAACGGCAGAGACCAAGCCTTTGACTATTTCCTCAAGATGTAAAATCTTAAGATGTACTCCTGCTATAGCTCAGAGTGAAGCAAATTGTACTGGAGCTCTCAGACCTTCCAAAACTCCTACCTCATAACCTCTCTGCCTCCGAGAAGATAAAGTCAAAGTGACACAATAAAAATAGTCATAGCAGGGCTGGGGATTTAGCTCAGTGGTTCTGGCGCCTGCCTTGCAAGCGCAAGGTCCTGAGTTTGATCCCCGGTACCAAAAAAAAAAAAAAAAAGTCAGAGCATGTTTAAATGCAACGGAAAGCTGAAAGCTACCATCTTCCCAATCAAGGTACATATGCTCTGCAGATGCTGAGGTTTCCCAGGTCCAAGGTCTGCACTGAACAGAGCATCGCCCTTGGAGGGCCCAGAGGAGGGGCGCCCGTGACATGGGAAGGTCACAGGAAAGGAGGGAGAGCCAGTATCAATCTGCTCTGTGCCAGCCCCCATGCTGCTCAGTCTAAATAACCGCCTTCCCGTCACCGCAGCCTGCAGGTGCAGAAACAGGCTGGAGGACAGGGCCGCGGCACGGCAGAGCCACACACACGGTCAGCTGACTCACGGCTTCACTTTTTCCAACCATGTTTCAACACCCTTGAAGGTGATGCCAACCCTAAATTCTCCAGACACTGAGGATTACAACCTAAGCTGCCTCTTCTCTAAGAAAACACAGGGGACACTACAGTACGTGATCCCAGAGCTCTGACTAAAGCTAAAGCTAGGCCAGGGTTTGTATGCACTGGACTGAAAAGTCGAAGACCATAGTACTTCCCTTACCTTAACCTCGCCAGCCATTTTATCCACTGCAAATCCTTCAACTGACAGCTGAAGAGACAAAGGTTTTAAATAGTAAGTGAAATGAAAAGAAGCTGAGAATAAACTTCCATTCACCTGCAAACAAATCATTCTGTTCTCTCCCAAATCTGTTTATTATACAGGGTATGGTATAGGGGGCCATGAACACAGCCAAGAGCTATCTGAGGAAACTTCTTTTGTTTGTGGCAGTGGTGACTGAACCCAGGGCCTTGCGTATGGTATGCAAGTGCTCTGCCGTGAGACACAGTCCTAGCCTGTTTTTATTCTGAGACAGGGTCTTGCTAAGTTGCCCATGCTGGCTGCAAACTTGCAATCCTCCTGCCTCAGCTTCCCAAACAGCTAGGATTACAGGTATGCACCACCATGCCTGGCAACATGAGGAATGTCTTAAAAGACCAAGGACCACAACCCATGGGCCTAGTGAATCATGGAAATAACCCAAGAACGTCCATAATTAGCAAGCTACTCAAAACAAAAATGTTCACATACCTTTATTAGTCTGGATATTAAGAATCCTCCTTGGTATCGATTATAAAGTTCTTCCCAATTGTCCTTTATGAATTTCCAAGCAGCTTTCCTCCCGTGCTTGCTGCCTCCAGCGACTCCACCAATTACCGACACAGTGTCCTGTGGACGTACCTCTTCCTAGAAGAAAAAAGTGAACTAAAAATCCAGCATATTGAAAGCATCTTCTGGTGCCAGAAAGTGCAACCAGCAATGCGGTCACTATGGCGAGGACGCTCGTTCTGCTTTGGCAGGGAAGAGAGCGAGTAACCTAAAGCCCAGTCACAGAGTGATGGGTGACAGGTGCACACACACAGTACCTGAGGATGCAGAGGAGGAGACGAGACAGGAAGCGGGCAGAGGGAGGGTAGGCCTCGGGTCCACCCCCTCCCAGGACAGCATGGGAGAGAACAGTAACAAAAAGCACATGCCAGTTTTCCTGGGAGCAAAGCCTTAGTCTAGGGCAAGGCAGACCAAGAAGATGTCGAATCAAAGATATCTGCCACAGACAGATGGGTACCAAACTCCCTCTACAAGCAGCTTCCTTGTGACTTACTGAAAGTGCAAACGTGAGGACTTTTTGGATCAGTTCAGGCATAAGAGTAGCCCCAAGAACTCTTTCAATTCGGTTTTTCTCTTCTTGCATATCTGCTTGTTTGTGAAGCTACAAGGGGAAAAAGACAGAGACGAGGATAGTTAAAGCTCTCCTCTGGAACTTCTGCATGTGCTTAAACTTCTCCAATAAAGGGAAGCTTCTCCTTTGCATCCTCACTGGGGAATACTAGCAGGACATTACATTAAAGATAAGAGTAGCAGGAGTGCTGGCACAGCACTCAGATGGCTGAGGCACGAGAACTGTAAGTTTGAACTTGGGCTGGGTAACTTACCAAGACTCCGTCTCAAAAGATAAAATAAAGTAAAATAAAGTGGGGTGCCGATGTGTCTCAGTGTGAAGGCCCTGGGCTCAATTCCCAGTATCACCCTCCCACAAAACCCCTGTGAGGGTGGCTGACAAGCACTGGCTGCCACGACTGTCACCAGCTCTAGGCGCTCACTAGCTGAATGGCTGGCATCAGTTCTTAGCAGTTTAGTATCAATATATAAGAAGTAAATCTGTCATGGGCAAATTCTTTATATCACTGGTATCTGGCTAATGTTCTGTGTTAGAGATGAATAGAATAATAATTAGTAATCTTATTTATGCCATTAAAGGGCATCAATTTAATTTATAATTATGTAAAAAACTAAAAATAATCTAAATGTTCAATCTTTTTTTTTTTGGCACTGAGGATTGAACTCAGGACCTTGTGCTTGTAAGGCGGGTGCGGTGACACTGAGCTAAATCTCTGGCAAAAATAATCTAAATGTTCAACAGCTGACTATTGTAATTACTCATTTTTAAAAAGGTGCATTATTGCCAGGGATTTAGCTCGGTTCTGTCCCCTGCCTCGCAAGTGCAAGGTCCCAAGTTTGATCCCCAGTACCCCCTCAAATCCACTAGATGGCACTCTAACCCAGCATTTATCTCATATAATAGCTCCATTATCACCTCATTATCCAGACATTACCAACAGAAAACAATCCTCATCCCTCACCATATAATTTCTTGAAGAACCCTGATTCTGCCTTCATTAGAGCTCTTTCCATAGTGAAGTTACATACTGGGAGCTCCCTTGTGTTAAATGCAAATCTCTTAACTACACAGACTTGTATGAATTCTTCAGTATGCCATGACATGAAAACGTCAGTCTCTGCCACAAAAATTTCACAATTCCTGTTATCTTCCACACATTTGCAGAATAGACTAAAAAACACAAAGAAGTCCATTTTATATACGTTTCATTTGCATTAGTTACAGTGCATAGGTTTACAGACTTTTTTTTTTTTTTTGGTACCGGGGATCGAACTCGGACCCTTCTGCTTGCAAGGTGGGCGGTGGAACCACTGAGCTAAATCCCCAGCCCCGATTTACAGGCTATTAAGAGTGAAAAGGACTGCCTTCACAGTTGGGATACCATGTCTTTGTTTCTTATAAAAGTCAGAAATATTTTGTTTAAAAAAAAAAAAAAGTGAAAAAGGAGCCAGGCATGGTGGCCCATGACTGTAATCCCAGCACTCGGGAGGCTGAGGCAGGAGAATCACCATGAGTTTGAGGACAGCTTGGGATACACAGTGAGTTCAAAGCCAGCCTAGACTACTTAGGAAACGCTGTCTGAAAAAACAAAAAAAGTGAAAAGGGACCTGAATGTTTATTTGAAACGCAAAATATAATTTTTATATTATTATAAAGGAAACCTGCCAGGCGTGGTGGTGCACACCTGTAATCCCAACACTCAGAAGGCTGAGGCAGGAGGATTGCTATGAGTCCAGGCCAGCCTGGACTACATAGTGAGTTCAAAGCCAGTCTGAACTATATACATAGCAAGACCCTGTCTCAAAAAACCAAAAAAAGAAGCCCATGCATAACATGGGTATTTTGATACACTCTGAAGAATAGTTTCTTAAAGTTTATATTTTTCAATACATCCCAATTGTCTTTAAATAGGATTTGTTTAAAACTAAAATACTAGATTTTACAATTCTGATCCACTTGGAATCATAAAAGTGTTTTTTAAAAAAATAACACTAGGGCCGGGGATTGCTTAGTGGTTACGGCACCTGTCTTGAAAATGCAAGGACCCAAGTTCGATCCCCCGTACCAAAAATAAAAAATAAAAAATAATACTAGAGATTGAATCCACAGCCTTCACACTGGGCTACAACCCCAGTCCAACCCCCGTCTCCCCCCAAATACCTCTCTCTCCAGGGTCTCCTAAATTGCTAAATTGCCCATGTTGGACTTAAACGTGAAATCCTCCTGCTTCAGCCTCCCAGAGTGCTGGAATTACAATCATGCCCCACCATACTTAAAAGTGTTAAGTAATAAAAGAACTCTGTTTTTGCACTAAGTGTGAATCTTTTTTTTCCCCAGTACTAGAAATCGGACTCAGGACCTTGCACTTGCCAGGGAGGCATGGTGCCACTGAGCTACATCCCTGGCCCCAGGGTGGATCTTTTAATAAGTAGATTTTATAGGTCTGACAGATGATTTGGGTATTAGGCTCATTTATTTGATGCTAGTTAGGTAGACTGGGTCTCTTCACCTTTAATGCAGCCCATCTATACAAGTAATTTCCTTACAGACTGGCAGGAATGGACAAGCACTAGAGACAGTACTTGTTCCACAGTATTACTGTTAATTCAAACTTTCATGAGGTAGGAGGATCGCAAATTTGAGGCCAGCCTGGACCTAGTGATTTAGGAAGACTTTTTGTCAAAATAAAAAATACAAGGGCTGGGGATTTAGCTCAGTGGCACCATGCCTGCCTTGCAGGCGCAAGGTTTTGAGTTTGATCCTGGGTACCCCTCCCCAAATAATAATAATAGAATAAAAAAATTAAAAATACAAAAAGGGCTGGGGTTATAGTTCAGTGTGAATGCCCTGGGTTCAATCCTTAGTACTGCAAAAACAGAACAAAACCTTTAAATAGGTTGCTACTATTATAAAGACATACAAAGTTTTATCTGTATTTTGCCTAGACTCAAGTTAATTATTGTACCAATTATGCTGGAAAGACGAGAGCGGCTATGAGGGCAAGTTCACTTCCTGTTCATTTATAAGGGACCCTAGCCCAGCTCAAAACCATGAGACAAGATCGTGCATCTGTGCCCCAAGCCCTTTGGGGGAGAGGCTACAGGGACTGAACCCAGGGCCTCATGCATGCTAGCCCAGAGCCGTTCCCCAGCTTTTTTTTTTTTTTTTAGAGAGAGAACCTTGCTAAGTTGTCCAGGCTGGCCTTGAATTTACAATCTTCCTTGCTTCAGCCTGCTGCTGGGATTACAGGTGTGCACCACTATACCCTTTTTTTGGTGCTGGGGATGTCACCCAGAGGCTTGCACATGCCAGGTGAGTGCTCTACCACTGAGCTACATCCCCAGCTCCCCGCTAGTTCCTTAATATTTGTATGGCTGCAATATACATGTATTTCATTTGCCAGGATATTTTTCAATACCATTTAAAGCTGCACTCTGTCCATCTGTGATCAAAGGCAGGGAAAGGGAACCATTTTTACATTCGCTCACCTTCAGCATAACGTCTAAGGTAGTTGCATCACCATGCTTCAAAACAGTCAGGTAAACCTACGAGAGAACGGAGGAACAGAGGGACTCATTTCAGTCCATGTATCTTATTTCAAATACTCTAATGTAAGAAAGACAGAGCCAGTGAAAAGATAACCATAAGGGGCCGGGGATTTAGCTCAGTGGTTTCCCTGCCTGCTGCGCAAGCGCAAGGACCGGAGTTCAATCCCCGGTACCAAAAAAAAAGAAAAGAAAAGATAACCGTAAAGAGCTGTGTGTACGAGTACAGCATACATAGACCCCAGCGAGAAGCCAGAGCCCCGAGGCCCCTGGAGGCGAGGACTGGTGGTGACAGAGAGCTCACAGCTGTGACAGGGTGCGGCACAGAGTGCTGGCTCTAGGCCACTGCATGGCCTGTCCTCCAGTGGAGCCAGACATGGCTTCTGGTCAGTTGTGGTTACTATTAAAGCTCTGCGCTTCACAGAGCGCTACAGCACCCAGAAGTCAAGGGAAGCAATCTGCAAACTTACAGGACTCCTCAGATCAGCGGAGAGAACTTGTTTCCCTTCCACATGGTCCTTAAACCGCCGACGGGCTTCTTCTAATGTCGCCTTATGTCCTGCTTTTCCTAGTTTTCCCAGAACCAAGCCCCTTAGGAGTGCATCTAGATGACCTGATCAAGAAGTAGAAGACACAGGACTACTTAACATGTGTGTGGTTAAAAATTTACCTTTTTTTTTGAAGACAGGGTCTCGGTAGGTAGTTCAGGCTGGTCTCGAACTCACTGCAATCCTCCTGCCTCAGCTTCCTGAGTGCTAGGATTACAGGCATGCAACATGCCCAGCCTCAATATTTTATAATTGTGTTAAACCAAACCTACAATCCTGAACAAACATAATACCCTAATGCTTGAGAGAAACTTGATTTGAGTTTATCGAGTCCTAAGAGGAAAAGGGAGCACTAGACAGACTAGACAAGCAAACAACTCTGCTGACTTCATCATGGTCACAAATGTGAACTCTTGCCAGGTGGAGTGGCTCATGCCTGTGGGCCCAGCACTTGGGAACTTGGGAGGCTGAGGCAGGAGGAAGAGCACAGTTAGTTCAAGGCCAGCCTGGCTAGAGAGTGGATTTAAGGCCAGCTTGAAGTACATACAGTCCTCTGTCTCAAAACTCCAAACTCTGAATTCATTACACTCTCACCCAGGCTAGTTAATTACGCCATTAAAGATTATGTGAGGAGAAGGTGACGTCATGCAGGGTTGATTCAAAGTTCAGAACCCCATACTGGGCCTAGGTATGCACGTAAGAAGACATTCAACATCACTGTCATTAGGAAAACGCAAATCCAAACCACAATGAGATATCACTTCGCACCCACTAGGACAGCTGTAATCAGAGGGACAGACAATGATAAGTGTGGCAAGGATGTGGAGAAACTGGAGCTCTCCGGCTCTGCTGGTAGGAACACAGAATGATGTGGTCACTCAAAGAACAGTTTGGCAGATCTTCCACCCCTTAAATATGGGGCTATCACACGATCTAGCAACTTCACTCTTAAGTATTTACTCAAGAGAAATGAAGGCATATGTTACACAAAAAACCTGCACACATGTTCCTAGCCAAATTCAGTATAACCAAAAAGTAGAACCAGCCCAAATGCCATCAACTAATACAGGAAATGGGCTGTGCTGTATCCACACAGTGGAGTGCTATTCTGCCATAAAAAGCGATGGAATACTGCTAGATGCTACAACACGGGTGAATCTGGAAAGCATGATGGAAAATGAAAGAAGCCAGGCACAAAGAGATACACACTGTACGACTCCATTTACATGAAACCCCCAGGACAAGCAAACCAGGAGACAAGGATTTGTGGGTCCCAGGAAGGGACAGTGACTGCCAATGGGCACGAGGCCCGGAAACTGTGCTGAAATTAGAGGGTGGTGATGGCTGCACAGTCTCATGAGTACATTAAGAACCACTCAACTGTACATTTTGAGAAGACTAACTTCATGGTTTGTGGATTTCATCTTGAAAAAGTATTAGTACAGCAATCTGATGGATTACAATAGTACAGATAAATAAAATGCAGTACATTCATACAATGAAATAGTACTCAGCAATAAATAGGAATAACCAACCTGGATGTTTTTCAAAAGCATTATATTGAGCAAAGGAAGCCGAATGTAAGAATAGAACACATCCCAAGATTCCATTTACATAAAGCAGAAGAGACAATATTCAGCTTGGGGCAGGGGGGTCATGTGCACCAGAGACTGACCAGGAAGGGCCTGGGTTTCTAGGAATGGAACTGCATGCATTTGTCAAAGGTCACTGAACTGAACACTCAAATTATGCATTTTGCTATATTTAAATCATAACTCAATAAAAAATAAGTTTAGGAAGGCTTACTAGGAGAGCAACAGATTCGTAGACACTATTCTGACATTTACTGTAAGAAGCAATTTATAATTATCTTTTGTGGTGGTGGTGTTCTGTGGATGAGCTCATGGCCTTAAACCTGAGCTACAGCCCCAGCTCTTCTTTATTCTGAGCCAGGGTATCTCTAAGTTGCTAAACTGCCCAGGCTGGGCTTGTACTTGCAATCTTCCTGCCTCAGCCTCCCAGAGTGTAGGGAGTATAATCATGGGCCACCACGCCTGGCTACAACTGGGTCTTGTACTAACTCTGGTGCTGACTTGCTGTGTAATACAAAGCATCTTTTACTATTTTATTCTCTCACCTGTACAGCTGGTAAACTAGAGCCATTTTCCCTAGATCATTTTTGAGTTCAAAAGATTTAGCATGTTCTTATTACGAAAGAGCAGTTCAATGTGCTGGTTGCCTGCACTGGCACCATCCCATCCCGTCTCTGAGGACCCGTGGTCCTGTCAGAAGCCACTCCTTTCCCCCACTGTGCGCCCTGCACCCCGCTCACTCACCTGTCACTCCAGCAATAACACCCTCCTCTTTCTCACAACATACTTTTTTTTTTTTTGTCCTGGGGATCGAACTCGGGTCCTTGTGCTTGCGCAGCAGGCAGCAAAACCACTGAGCTAAATCCCAGCCCACAACATACACTTTTTATTTTTTATTAAAAAAATTTTTTTTATAACACACACTTAAAAAAAATACCACCTCATTATTTTTACTGGGAAAAATGGGACACAATCTTCCAATTCATAGCTGGGCAAAGTGTCGCACACCTATAAGCCCAGCACTACAGGAGGCTGAGGCAGGAGGATTCCAAGTTTGAGCCCAGCCTTGGCAACTTACCGACTTAGACCATGCCTCAAAGTAAAAGATAAAAAAAGTGAGAATGTGGCACAGTGTGAAGACCTTGGGTTCAAGCTCCAGTAATGAAAAAACAAAAAAAAACCTCTTAAAAAAACTTTCCAGGGCTGGGGATTTAGCTCAGTGGTTCCGCCGCCTGCCTCAAAACTGCAAGGTCCCGAGTTCAATCCCCAGGACCAACCCCCCCCCCAACCTTCCAATTAAAAAAAAGAAAATTCCTTCCTTGATCCCACATCTCTCAGGTTAATCCCCCTTTCTCTAATCCTCTTTTTAATAAAACTCCTTTAAAAAGTTGTCTACATGTGCTGTCTCCACTCCTTCTCCCATTACGGAAGCCCAGTGTAGTTTCCCACCACCCAACAGAACCTTTCAAATCCCATCACCAATTCTCCCTCCTTTCCTCTACTACCCTGATGGATCCCCTTCCCTCAAACTACTGCTTCCCCAAGTGCCGAGTCCCCTCTCCCTCCTAGCTTGCCTCCCGACTCACCAGTCAGCCTCCTTTCTGATTCTTCCTGTTCATCCCAATCTCTAAATCCTGGGACCTGGATCTCAGAACTCGTTTTCCCACCTATACACCCTAAGCCAGTGATGGCGAACCTTTCAGAGCTATCAAGAGATACACACGGCCCACTGTGGCATGCGTGCCATAGGTTCCCCACCATGCCCTAGGTGATCTCTTTCCAACCCATGCCAGTGACTCCCAAAGGTACATCCGCTTGATATCTAAGACGGCAAATCACTGTGCCCTGAAAAAACTCCTGATCACCTTGCCCCCAGAGTGCTCTACAGCAGTCTCCGATGGCCTCTCCACCACAGTCTGCCAGCAAACCCCACAAAACTCACTGCCCATCAGCGCCGGGGCGAGCAGCACCACCAGCGATGATGGAGAAGAGCCTTCGCAGGTGTCCCTTCCAGGCGGCTCTTCACGTTTCGGTCGGGTAAATCAAATCAAGCTCCTCCGCCCACATGCCTCAGCAGAATCTCCTTTCACTAAATGTCAAAGTGGGAAACTTCTGCCTACATCCCGAGGTCCTCCGAGTCTCATCTGCTTCCCGCGTCCCCTGCTCCTCACTCACGCCGACCGGACCAGCCTTGTTCCTTTACACGTCTGTTACTCGCTCCCCCAGACTCCCTCATGCTCAAAGATCGCCTTCTCAGCGATGGCTTCCCCACCCACTCTATAAACACTGGCCCCACCCTCCTTATTTACCTTACCCCGCTTTGCTTCTCTTTATGATACATGGTAGCTATCTGCCAACGCTGTGCTTATTACCACATGGCCTGCTTTTAGAACAGCACTTGGTATTCACTAGCTCCATAAATACTTGCTGGATGAATGAACCACACAGGGTGATAGGCATTGCTATCCTTATTCAGAAGGCTCCCGGATTAAGATTTGTTAGGAGAAAGCGCCACCTTTAGTTATTAGCAGATAGTGACAATAATTATACTGAAACCCTTCAAATCACCACTCTCAACATTTAAATGACATCACAAAGAGTAAACATGACTACAGAAATAATCATGGAAGAGAAACACACATAGAAAGCAATTAAATTCCTTCATTTAGAAAGTGAGTCCCTGTGTCTCTTAGCACCTTTGCAAGATGCCTGGTATTTATGGTAATATAAACATAAGGTGCCTGCTATTTAGGTAATCTAAGCCACCTGAAATTCCCTTTAACTTTTCTTGACTATAAATGGGCCTTTGGAACTCTGTAGATCTTTATTTTCATCACTGCACACAAATCCTACTTAGCCATGAGCATATATAAGCACTACTGTTTCTATGCTGTGACCCATGTAACATTACCAGCAGGATCAGACTTCAGTCTTAATTTCTGGATAGCCGAATGAATATACAGTAACATCCAGTGATACACAAAGATGATTTTTTTGTGTGTTTTGGTAGTGCTAAGAATTGAACCTGGGGTCTCACACATGCCAGGGAAGAGCTCTATCACTGGGCTACAGTCCCAGCCTAATTAACCTGTTCACTACAGGTGAATAAAAAAGTGCCAATTCCTAACTGATTCTTCTTGAAATCAGTACATCCGTTACCTTCTCCAGGCTTGGGGTCCCAGCCTAGTCTCTCCCCTATAGGTGAAAAGACATCTTTCACAAACTCCTGGATTTCCTCATAGAAGTCTGTGTGGGACAAGAGAGTTGAGAGAATCCCCAGGTTACAGCTCAGGTCGCTCCATACAGTATAATTGGGCTCATTCACAAAAGCCTCCATGACTTTTAGAACCTCTACAGTGCTAATGATTCCAGCTCGAGCCTGGGATAGGAAAAAACACAAATTAACCTTGTCTTCAAACAAAACAAACCAAGCAAGCATGTATTTTCAGCATTATCTAGTGCTAGTAACTTTCTGCTTTAAGGAAATGAGACTATAAATTAACCTCTGCAGAATGCTATTCGAATAAAAATCCTATTAGGACATCATCCCTTATTTCTTTGCTATTTATAAAATAAGAACTTAAAAAATGACACTATGCTCCCATAATTGGGGAACAACAACAAACCAGTTAATTTCTTATTCCTATTCAGGTTCTCGGGCCTTGGCTTTGTTTTTGTTTTGAAAGTTTTCATACTTTCAGAAAAGCTGCAAAAATAGTTGAGGTTTTGCCTCTTGACAGAGGCTCTTTCAAAGCTGGACCTACAAACTGTGATATATCAGCTCTCCCTCACTCGTTTCTGAAAGAGCACAAGCTGGAAGGAGCCTCAGGTTCACAGTCCTTTCAGCACTGGAGAACTGAGTTCCCAGAGAGGGCTCGTGCTGCAGCAGCCAAGTGCACAGAGCCCACTCTGAGACAGGTCTGGCTCTCGAGAAGCTCAGCAGAGAGGCTTGGTTCGTCAGTGCCGCTCTGTGAGTACACAGAAGAGGGTCCAAAACCAGTGACTGCAGAGGGCAGGGAGAATTTCTAGTCCAATTTAAAGGAAAACTAGGAGGAACGTGACAATTTCTTCATAGTCAAAGACATCCAGAAAGTACCTAGCCAGTGTTGGAAGTCGTAATGAGCACATAATTCTTTTTATTTTTTTTTGGTTTTTTGAGACAGGGTCTCGTTATATGGATCAGGCTGGCCTTGAACTCCATGTGTATTCCAGGCTGGCCTAACACATGGCGATCCTCCTGCCTCAGCCTCCCGAGTGCTGGGATTACAGGTGTGCACCACCACACCCGGCAGGAGCACATAATTCTAACTGCTCTTTAAATCCTTTCTGAAACAAAGCCAAATACAACCATTAATTTTGAAACTAATGCACTATCTCCTATAATCTGAGTAATAACAAATGTTAAAAAATTCTAGCCTTCCCAGCAAAGTACAACTATTACTTTAGAGGAACAGAAAATCACTCTGAATTATTTAAAAAACATATCAGTAGGGAAATTTCCCCAAAGCTCATATTTGTGTCTACTGAAATAAAAGAACTAAAGATAGTTATGGAAAAAAAAACTAACTTAGGGGTAGTGAAATGGGATTTGTTTCTAGCAAATTACTTAGGTTCAATCTTTTGTTAAGCAATAATTTGTCATTTGCGCTCGACCCAAAGGTGCTAACCTACAGGAAGAACCATATTCTTCTAATGAGGTTTCAGATACTCCAGGAAAAACAGGACCCTTTAATCAACAAAACCCATCAGATCACTCAGCCAGAGGTGCTCACCAAGGAGAAGAGGTCATTCTGTAATCCCAGTCGGTCCACGGGGGGCAGAGAAAGGTCCCGAATGCCTGGTAACAAGCTTTCCAGCATGGCAGAGCTGTACTGGGTCCGGTAGAACCCAACTGTTCCGAGGTTTAACTGCAAAGATATCCAATAGGCACTCTTACATACTCCTAATTTATTTCTTTCACCTGTTTTTTTTTTCTTTCTTTTCTTCTTTTTTTTTTTTGGTACTGGGGATCGAACTCGGGTCCTAGTGCTTGCGCAGCAGGTGGTGAAACCACTGAGCTAAATCCCCAGCCCTCCTAATTTATTTCTTAAATCAATGTTTCACATATGTAAAATGAATTCTGGTTTTAGATACACCTGGATGAAAACAAGTACCATTCGTGAATTAATGCACATAGCCCATAAGGTAGAAATCATTTGTCTAAATAAATGCAGAGGAAAAACAAAACAGACACTTGCAACAGTAAGGGCCAAAGTGAGGACAGTGAGAAGAACGTGGGAGAAAGGGAAAATGGCTAGGTTTCCATGCCCAGCCTCGGTGAGTGGCTTCAGGTTTACAGAGATATTTACTATGTCTGAAGCAAGTGAACAGTAGAATCTCAGAGCTCAGAGCCCCGGCACGCTAACAATTTCAGATCCTGAATCTTAATCTTCGGGAAGAATCATATTTTTCTAATTATGTTGCAGACACTCCAGGAAAAACGAGATCCTTTAATCAACAAATTCCATGAGATTACCAGAGCAAAAGATGCAATAAGGGCAGTTCCTTTTGACATCTGGAGTGAGGTAAATCACTACCTGCAGTTATTCCCACAGGCCATTTACAATCAACCAAAAAATAGTTTAAAAATATTTATGGATATAACTAGTGGCAAAGGAGTAAGATATAAATATTTTATTACTTATGCATAATTATTTCTATACCTAAAACCACTGCATATTTCTAACAATTATTATTTTATCAATCCCCTTAACTTTTACCATAGGCATAACACTTTCATTTCATTACAAGTGTAGTGGACACAACTTTTTTTTCCCTTACAAGAAATTATTATTTATTATTTTTCTTGGTACCAGGGATCAAACTCGGTTTCTTGCACTTGTGGGGCAGGCAGCAGAACCACTGAGCTAAATCCCTGGCCCTATTTTTTTTTGAGACAAGGTCTTGCTACATAGTTCAGGCTGGCCTTGAATTCAATGTGTAGCCCAGGCTGGCCTTGAACTCAAGGTGATCCGCTTGCCTGAGCCTCCCCAGTGCTGGGATCACAGGTGTGCACTACCACACCTGACTTATAAGAAACTTTTCATTTCACCAATTAATCTTCCAGATCATAATTTTGTTGTGTTTTGTTTTTCTCCAATACTAGGGATCTAACTCGGGACCCTGCTCATGTAAGGCAGGCAACGGAACCACTGAGCTAAATCCCTGGCACACATACTTTTTTTGAGATAAGTTCCTGCTATGTACCTCAAGCTGGCCTTGAACTCCTGGTGATCCTCCTATCTCAGACTCCTGAGTGCTGGGATTATAGGCATGTATGTCATCATGCCCAGTTCCAAATCATAATTTCACATAATATTCCACTGAATGTATTTTTAAAATTAAAACAAAAAATGGCTCATTTTAGAAAAGCACAGCCAAGCATGTTGGCACACTCCTATAATCCCAGTACTTGGGAGTCTGAGGCAGGAGGATCATGAGTTCCAGGCCAGCTTTGCTTACATATAAGACTTTGTCTCTAGGGGCCCGGGATTTAGCTCGGTGGTTCTGCCACCTGCCTTGCAAGTGCAAGGTCCCAAACCAAAAAAAAAAAAAAAAAAAAGACTGTCTCAAAAACCAAAACCAAACCAAACCAAACCAACCAACCAACCAACAAAAAGGGTGGGTGTGGTGGCGCACAGGTGTAGTCCTAGCACTCAGGCTGAGGCATGAGGATTGCCATGAGTTCAGGGCCAGCCTGAGCTACATAGTGAGCTCAAGGCCACCTGAACTATATAGTGAGAGACCCTGTCTCAAGAAACAAAACAAAAAGAAAAGCACTAAAATCTGAGACAACATATAGTTCCTATTACGAATCTACAATTGTGAAAAGAGATTAGACTAAGTATTTTTACCAGGAAGGTACAAAAGCTAGGCACAGTGGCACACATCTGTCATCCCAACACTCAGGAAGCTGAGGCAGGAGGATCACTGTGAGTTCCAGGCCAGCCTGGGCTACATAGCAAAACCCTTCCTCAAAAAAATACTTAAAAAGGCCTGGGGGTGTAGCTCAGTGGTAGAGCACCTCTGGGTTCAATCTCTAGTGGCCCTAAAAACAGAAAAGATACAGAGTTCGGACCCTTGGGTACTTTCGGGAAATGGTTTTCAAACACTAGCTAGAGGGATTTCACATTTCAGTGACACAAGGTGATGATTATATATGTCTGGTCTCTCTCTTTTTTTTCCATTTAGTTTATTGGTACATTTTAGGTATACAATACAATTACATTCCTCATTGGGACCTTGTACCTTTACATGATGTATCTTGGTTCTTGTTTTTTCCCCATTCCCCTGCCCTCCCTTCAACCCCTCCACCCTTCCCTATTTAGAAAGACTTTGTTTCCATGTTTTTCCTTTTCTCATATTTTTTCTTTTCCCTTCTTTCCTTTCCCCTTCCCCTATTCCTTTAGACATTTTCTTCCTATTTCACAATACCAGTTATACATTTTGATTCTTTTTTTTTGGAACCGGGGATCGAACTCAGGTCCTTCTGCTTGTAAGGCAGGAGGTGGAACCAGTGAGCTAAATCCCCGGCCCCATTTTGATTCTTATTTACACTTTTAGTTTTTCACACCAGAGAAACTATTCAGTATTTAACAAGTATGTCCTATTTATTTCACTTAAGCGTATGGACTCGATGTGCATCCATTTAGCTATAAATGTCTCTAGTTTCTCATTCTTTATGGCTGAGTAGTACTCCATTTTATAAAAAAATCACATCTTCTTTATCCAGTTTCCAGTTGATGGGCAATTGGGCTGTTTCCAAGTTTTAGCTATTACAAACTGTGCCGCTATAAACATGGGTGAGCATGTATCACTGTGGTGTGATTCTTTTAATTCCTTTGGGAAGATAACCAGTAGAGGAATAGCTAGGTCACATGGGACTTCCAGTCCTAGTTCTTTGACATATCCCCATACTGATTTCCACAGTGGTTGCACCAGCCTGCACTCCCACCAACAATGAAGAAGGGTTCCTTTCTCCCCACACCCCCGCCAACATTTGTTATTGGTTAATTTCATGATAGCAGCCATTCTTTCTCGGGTGAGGGGGAATCTCAGCTTTGTTTTGATCTGTATCTCTTGAATGACCAGTGATGTTGAACATTTTGTCATGTTTATTTGCTATTTTTACTTCTTTGTCTGAGAAATGTCTGTTCATTTCAGATGCCCATTTTAGAATTGGGTCTTTAAATTTGGGGGGTCTGATTTTTTTAAGTCCTTCATATATTCTAGATAGTAGACCTCTGTCTTGAGGAATAGCTGGTAAAAAGTTTTTTTCCCACATTGTAGGTTATCTCTTAGCTCTGTTGGTGGTTTCTCTTGCAGTGCAGAAGTTTTTTAATAAGATGAGATCCCAGTTGTTGATTCTTTGTGCTAGTTTCCGTGCTACTGAGGATTTGTTCATAAAGTCCTTTCCTATGCCAATGTCTTCAAGAGTTCTACCTAACTTGTCTTCCAGCAAGTTTAGTGTTTCTGTTTTAATATTTAGATCATTAATCCACTTCAATTTTAGTTTAGTGCATGGTGAAAGATGGGGGTCTAGTTTTAATTTTTGGCAAGTTGAAATCAAGTTTTTCCAACACCATTTATTAAAAAGGCTATCTTTCCTCCAGTGAGGATGGTTGGCTCCTTTGTCAAAGATGAGATAGCTGAGTATGTCTGGAGTTGTTTCTGCATCTTCTAATCTATTCCACTGATCCTCGGGTCTGTTTCTTTGCCAGTACCATGCTGTTTTTATCACAGTGGCTTTGTAGTAGTTTCAAGTTGGGAATTGTGATACTCCTTGCCATGACTCTGTTGCCTAGAATTGCTTTTGCTATTCTAGGTCTCTTCTGGTTCCAGGTGAACTTTTGGATGGTTTTCTCTGGTTCTGTGAAATATGCTGTTGGGATTTCAATTGGAATTGCATTGCATCTGTATAGCAGTTTTGGAAGTATGGCCGTTTTCACTATATTGGTTCTTCCTACAGAGGAACAAGGGATCTCTTTTCATTTTCTTATATTCTCTTCGAGCTCTTTTTTCAGAGTGCTGTAGTTCTCAATGTAGAGGTCTTTTGCTTCCTTCATTAGATTGATTCCTAGATATTTCATTTTTTTGGATGCTATTGTGAAAGGGATTGTTTCCCTAATTTCTATTTCAGTGAGTCTGTTATTTGTGTACGAGAAGGCTATTGATTTTTGAGTGTTGACCTTGTATCCAGCTACTTTACTGAATCTGTCAATTAAGTCTAGAAGTCTTTTGGTAGAGTTTTTTGGTTCTTCTATGTAGAGTATCATATCGTCAGCAAATAATGACGGTTTAACTTCTTCCTTTTCTATCTTTATTCCTCTTACTTCTTTCTGTTGTCTAATTGCTGTGGCAAGTGTTTCCAAAACTATATTGAACAGGAGTGGTGATAGTGGACATCCTTGTCTTGTTCCTGATTTTAGCGGGAAGGTTTTCAGTTTTTGATCATTTAGTATGATGTTGGCTGTTGGTTTTTCATATAGCCTTTATCAAGTTGAGATAAAGACCATCTATTCCAATTTTCTGCAGGGTTTTTATCATGAATGGGTGTTGAATTTTATCAAATGCTTTTTCTACATCTATTGAGATGATCATATGGTTTTTGTCCTTGACTCTTAATATAGTGTATTACATTTATTGACTTGCGTATGTTGAACCATCCTAATTAACATCCCTGGGATAAATCCGACTTGGTCCGACCCTCTGTATTGTTTGCCAGTATCTTGAGGATTTCTGCATCTATGTTCATTAGGGAGATTGGCCTGTAGTTCTCTTTTTTGGTTGGGTCTTTCCCTGATTTTGGAATCAAAGTAGTACTTGCTTCCAGGAACGAATTTGGAAGTACTGCTTCCCTTTCAATTTCATTGAAAAGTTTAAAGAGTAATGGCAATAGTTCTTCTCTAAATGTTTTGTAGAATTCAGCAGTGAAGCCATCAGGATCTGGGCCTTTTCTTTGTTGGTAAATTTTTAATTATGTTTTCAATTTCACTGATTGTAATTGGGGCGTTTAGAATTTTTACATCTTCGTTTAACTTTGGCAATTCATATGTATCTAGAAATCTGTCCATTTTTTCTGTGTTTTCCATTCTATTAGAGTACAGGTTCTCAAAGTAGGTATTGATGATCCTCTGGATTTCTGCTGGATCTGTTGTGACTTCATCTTTTTTGTTCCTAACTGCATGTATTTGAGCCTTTTCTTTCCTTTTTTTGATAAGGTTGGCTAAGCATTTATCAATTTTATTTATTCTTTTGAAAAAATCAACTCTTCAATTTGTTGATTTTTTTGTATCGTTCTTTTAGTCTCCATTGCATTGATTTCTGCTCTGATCTTTATAATTTCCTCCCTTGTATGAACTTTGGGTTTGTCTTGCTCTTCTTTTTCTAGGTGCTTAAGATTCAAGCATTAGGTTGTTTATTTGAGCTCGCTGTTTTCCTAGTGTGGGGATTCACTGCTATAAATTTCCCTCAAGGAACTGCTTTCATTGTGTCCCACAGATTCCTATATGTTGTACTGGCATTATCATTTATTTGTAAAAACTGTCTAATTTCTTCTGTAACCCAGTGGTTGTTCAGGAGAGTGTTATTTAATTTCCATGTGTTTGTGATGTTCTTGCTGTTTCTTATGCTACTGATCTCCAGTTTAATTGCACTATGCTCTGATAATATACACGGGATAACTTCAATTCCTTTGCATGTACTTAAACATGTTCTATGAGCTAGTATATGGTCTATTTTGGAGAATGACCCGTGTGTAGCTGAAAAAAATGTGTATTTTGATTTTGTAGGGTGGAATACTCTGTAGACGTCTATTAAGTCCATTTGTTCAAAAGCTTGGTTCAGTTCTGGTATTTCATTGTTAATTTTTTTTGTCTAGATGATCTATTTGTGACAGTGGGGTATTGAGGTTCCCCACTACAATTGTATTAGTGCTTATTTGGTTTTTCATGTCCCCTAATATTTTTTATAGTTGGGGGCATTAGTATTTGGTGCATATATATTTATGACTGTCATCTCTTCCTCTTGGATTGTTCCCTTTACAAGGATGTAGTGATCATCTCTGTCTCTCTTAACTAGTTTTGGTTTGAAATTTACTTTGTCTGCAAGTAAGATTGCTACCCCTGCTTTTTTCTGGATTCCTGTCGCATGGAGAACTGCTTTCCATCCTTTTACTTTCAGTCTATGAATTTCTTTTTGAGTTGTGTTTCTTGTATACAGTATATTGCTGGATTTTGCTTCTTTTTTTGGGTACTGGGGATAGAACTTGGGACCTTGCGCTTGTGAGGCAGGCACTGGAACCACTGAGCTAAATCCCCAGCCCTGGATTTTGCTTCTTAATCCATTCTGCCAGTCTAATTCTTTTAATTGGTGAATTGAGACCATTAACATTGATGGTTATAACTGATACGTACTGACTTATCATTGTCAGGTTATTTTCCTGTTGTTGGTTCTTTTTTATTTTTCTCCCTCTCCCTTTAATTTCTCGCCTTCCCTGATGAATTTGCTCTGTTGGGCCTCATGGAGTTGTGACTTTTGTTATATTTTTCTAGGATATTGTTTAGAATTGTTTGGAGTGCTGGTTTGGTATTCATGAAGTTTCTCAGGTGTTCTTTGTCACGTCTTGTCTCTTTTCATTACCGCTGTTCACATGCTATTATAATGAAAAGGCAGTTGGAAGTTGCAAGACTACAAATGTCTTGGTTAATGTGACTTTATATGCAGTCTACTATTTTCCCCTTCACAGTCTTACCTCCTTTTCTCTGCTTAGCTATCACTGAAAATCACTGGACAACACATTGAAAACTGGCTTTAGATTTCACAAAGGGTTAGAAATGTCTTTTCTTTTCGAGATAGGGTCTTGCTATGTAGTCCATACCAGACTCAAACTTGTGGCAATCCTTGTATCTCAGCCGCCCGAGTGCTTATGACAAAACTATGTTTTCTTTCAAAGTCCTAGTCTAAACCAAAGCAGTAAATACAGAGAGTCATCAAATCCACAGAGTGAGAAGAAATCAGGTCAGGAAAGATGAAATAGCTATGGCATTTCTGGACTCACCTTAACCCACTGGTCTGGTTTGACGTTTTTCAAAACCATATTCATCTCTGGCTTATCCATCAGGATTTTTAGTTTGGCTTGGTTGGGATCTTCGCTGGTAGAGATTGTGATAGGAACCATCCACTGAGGACAGTCTTCTCCTAAACAAGGGAAGAACACATAGAAAACTTGGAAAATAATTTTACACTATCAGAAACCGATGGTCAAGTGGAGAGAAGGGACTGATCGGGGAGGAGCCTGAGAGCAAGTGTGAAGCCAATAGCTTGTTCTTCCTGCTATAGGAACTCTTCAGGGAACCTGAATATTAGTACAAAGGAAGGGACAATTTACTAACAAAATCACAGTCTAAAAAAAAGAACAGTTAAAGCCACTCATGGAATCTCAAATGCAATGACTTAAATTTAATTTTAAGATGCAATCCTTGCAGGTATATACACTGCCAAAGCACTCAAGGGTTGATTTTGAGTGGATGTGTGTGGTACTGGGGCAGGAACCCAGTACCTTCCCATTCAGCTACATTCCCAGCCCTTTTAAAATATCTTTTTTTTTTCTTTTTTGGTACTGGGGATTGAACTTGGGTCCTTCCGCTTGCACAGCAGGTGGCGAAACCACTGAGCTAAATCCCTGGCCCATTAAAGTATCTTTTAATTTAAGACAGAGTCTCACTAAGTTGCCTGGTTTGGGCTCAAACTTGCAGTCATCCTGCCTCAGCCTCTCAGAGTGCTGAGTACAGATGCACACCACTGCACCAGGCCATGAAAGGCTGATGTTAATGGCTGTGATGGCAGGGCACACCCCAAGCTGCTGCGTCCCATCTCTCAGGAATCACACCTAAATGCCCAGGCATGTGTGTGGCAAACACACCTGAGACCTCAGTCAGCAAAACAGACATTGCACTAAGATGCCAAACAAAAGGGAGCCCTTGCCCAGTACATCAATATAAGCATATAGCTAGTATACAGTTAAGTTTATAACTAACATATTTAATGTTATATTGCCTGGTTATGAAGCTAAAAAAAGATTAAATCCCTCTCCCCTCACTAAGCTATTCCAGATTTGTTTCTTGAGTCAGGGTCCTGCTATGTAGTCCAGACTGGCCTTGAACTCACTATGTAGCCCAGGCTGGCCTCAAACTCACAGCGATCCTCCTGCCTCAGCCTCCCGAGTGCACCACCATACCTGGCTTCTATTTGAGGTTTTAATGTTGCCTACATTGGTCACAGAGCATTAGAAAAACCTGCAAAACCTCTCAGTACTACAATGAAGATTACAGAGAGGAGGCAGAAAACAGTAACTGTGACACTGAAGGCTTCACTTGGATAATAAACCCATCATCTGACTGTCAGACCTATTTATTACAGGCAATGTATTCCTAACATTAGGGAGGGTTAAGGGCCCAAGGCCACACTTCTTATCTGTAAGTGGGATGTATCAAATCTTTGTGGGTGAAACATGAAAAGCCATCAGTGACTGGGACATGAATGAGGTGTGATTTAAAAATACAGTTACACAAGGTCGCGGGTTCAATCCCTGGTACCAAAAAAAAAAAAATACAATGATCAGCTGGGTATTGTGATGCACGCCTGTAATCCCAGCACTTGGGAGGCTGAGGCAAGAGGATCACCAGGAGTTTCAGATGAGCCTGGGCTATACAGTGAGTTCAAGGCCAACCCAAAGTATACAGTGAGACCCTGTCTCAAAACAAAACAAAACAAAAACAGTGAATGGTTAAATTTTTTTTAAAAAGTTATTACAATAAAAGACATACGGCCATTAAACTTCCTCAAAACACTCCCCTCACTTTGAACACATTTATATCATTCCTGACTTTTTTTTTTAAGGCAAGGTCTCATTATACAGTTCAGGCTGGCCTCAAACTCACTATGTAGCTGAGGCTGGCCTAGAACTCATAGCGATCCTCCTGTCTCAGCCTTCCGAGTGCTAGGATGACACCTGTGCATCACCATGCCTGGCTCTTGCCACTTTCTGATGCAGGTCTGGAAGTCCTCTTTCTTATCTTGAGTTGCACTGTCATGGCTGCCTCAATGTCCTGAGCCAATTCAAAACATTTATCTTTCTAGTCATTTAGACTTTGGGAAGAGGCAGTCACATGGTATTAGATCTGGTGAATACGGTGGATGAGAACACATCTAACATCTGATGATGGCATTCAGTAGTCCATGGCACTCAGCAGATCCCTCATATTTGCTCTTATTATGAGGCTTAACGCCTAAGAAGAGAATAGTGTATATCTGTACATGTCAATAACAACTGCAATCTCGGAAACTTCCAGGAAGATGGCAGAGTGGTTAAGAGCAGAGAAACAGTTAATTTGGTGTCCAGATGCTAGCACATAGCAATGGGAGGAAGAGAAGTCAGGAAGTGGGTCCCAGGGACCCAGCAAGGATCTGAAGGGAAAATTGAAGCCCATGGGGAGAGCGAGAGGAGAGACTTCAATGAAGAAGGAGGTGGTAAGTGGCACTTTCTTGTGCAGCCCTGACTGTGTAGGAAAGGCACCTCAAACATGCAGATGCACAGTGACTACTGGTAACCCCAGAGGTCTCCACAGACAGATGCACCAGTGAACAGAGCAGTGCACACAGTGGACTGCAGTGGCTGGTGAGTTATTCGGGTTCAGCTGTCCCCCACGAGAGGGCAATTGCCCAGTAACCATCTTGGAGAGGAGCTGAGCTCAGAAATCAGAGCAACTGTGTGGGCTGGCTCCATCAGTGAGGCAGAACTGAGTTCAAGTCAGCAGGAGGCCAAGGAGCCAAGTTTAAGCCGGCAAAAAGCTAAGTTCAAGCAGGCAGGAGACACATGGAGTGTTGGAGGCTGAACAAATTGGACCTCACAGGCAGAAGCCAGCCTGGGCTTGCTGGGATTATCTACTATCCCCCACCATAAATTTACAACTGGCTTGTTTGAAGTAATCAACACAGATCTGGGCTCTGTGTGCCCAATTAATGTACCAATGACAGCAGTGAGAAGCCTTGAAGTGGACAATTTTTTTCTTATTTTATTTTCTTTTTTGGTTTTGTTTTCATTTTCTTTTCTTTTTTGATTGATCGTTCCTGTCTTCATATGAGTGTGAACTGTTTCTTGTTTTTGTTGTTGTTTTGTTCCTTTATTTTTCCCTTCTCTTTCCCTCCTGTCTTCTTCACCAATTCTCCAAAGTTTGCATAATCTTCCTTTGTCCTCCAGCCTTGCTTTTAATCTCTTCCTATTCTTCTATTTCTGTTTTTTTTTCCTCTAGCCCCCACCCCCTTTTTGAGACAGGGTCTCACTATGTAGTTCAGGCTGGCCTCAAACTCACAGTGATCCTCCTGCTTCAGCCTCCTGAGTGCTGGGATTAGACGTGTGCCACCACACTGGGCAGCCCCTTTTAAATTTTCTCCCCTCAGGGTAAAATCGCTATACTGAGGGCATATTTACTGCATACAATTTTCTGGTTTATTTTGTTATATAACTGCAAATCTAGGTTATACAGTTAAAGGTGGTAAATCAATAGTTATCACACTTTGTCATTTTCTAGGCTGCCTTTGATGCTATTGTTACTATTGATTGTACTACTTTAGGCAAGGTGACATAATTGTTTTAATCAGTTGTTTTTCCTAGTACGCCAAGACTGAGATCACCTAAGGGTCATAAACAATACTATTAGCCAATGTTAAAGACCAAAGGGTGGGCCCAAATAGGCAACAACTTCTCATCACCAATAAGTTGAAGAGGTAGGACCTTACATCAGATTTAAAACCCGAAAGTGAGCTACACCTGGAAGACATCTCTGAGAAGTAGTCATTTCCTAAGGGTTCTAAATACTAGTAATAAAGCTACCTGCCATAAGCAATTTATGACCATCAACACAGGAATTTAAAAAAAAAAAAAAGAAAAGAAAAAGACAAAAAAATGAGTAGACACTTAAGCCAGATGCAACCCCAAATTTCTAGCTCACCAAAGGTAAACCCAGGGAACAATGAGGTAGAACAATCAGAAACCCACCCACCTGGATTTTTTGAAATGGTAACAGTGGAAGTAACAAAACAGATGAATGAGGCTCTAGAAAAAATTAAATCAGCAACAGTTTCTCAGATAACTACAGAAATGATGACCATAATGAAAGACATGATTCGTGAATCGAGAGCAGATACAGATAAAAAAATAAAGGGAGCTTAGGAAAATGATGGAGACCATGAACGTCCAACATATGAAAGACATGGAATCCATGAAACAGATTCAAACAGATATCCAAGAGATTAAAAATTCCATGGAAAGTATATGCAGCAGAATGAGCCAGTGTGGGGACAAAATATGAGATATAGAAGACAGGATTGCAGTTAGTGATCATGAGAAGAGAGATTTCTTAAAAATAGCAACGGACCACAAAAAAATCAATCCAAAAGCTGCTAGATGATACAAAGATGAGTAACATGAAATTGACTGGACTCGATGAAAAAGCAGGAGACAGTGCAAACAAGATAAAAAACCTGTTCACAGAAGTAATGGGAGAAAACTTCCCAAGCAGGGAAAAGGAATGTGATATACAAATAAGTGAGACATACTGAATTGAACTCCAACTAGCCATGATGAAAAACAAAATCTACACCAAGGCATATAATACACAAGATTCCAGAAATTCAGCACAAAAATAGAATATTAAAAGTTGTTAAAGAAAAGAAACAAATCCCCTATAAGGGCTTGCCTGTCAGAATCATAGCAGACTTCTCACACAAACCCTCAAGTCAAGGAAAGCTTGAGTATTTCAAGCCCTAAAAGAAAACAACCTCCAACCCAGATTGATGTACCCCACAGAACTTTCTTTCAGAGGAGGGAGAAAAAAGATACTTCTATGACAAAGAACACCTGAAGAAATTCATGACCACCAAACTAGTGCTCCAAAATGTTCTAAAGGACATTCTAGAAAGAGATAACAGGGGCTACAACTCTATGAACCCCAACAGAATGAATCTACCAGGCATGGCCAGCTATTAAACAGGGGGGAAAAAAGGGAACCAACAACAGGAAAATAACATGACAAGAATAAGTCAATATGTATCAGTTATAACCATCAAGGTAAAAAGGTCTCAATTCACCAATCAAAAGAAACAGACTGGGGCCAGGGATTTAGTTCAGTGGTTCCGTTGCTTGCCTTGCAAGCGCAAGGACCCGAGTTCGATCCCTGGTACCAAAAAAAAGAAACAGACTGGCAGAATGGATCAAGAAGCAAGATCCAACAATATGCTGCATACAAGAAACACATTTGATTCAAAAAGAAATTCATAGATTGAAAGTCAAAGGATGGAAAACAATATTCCATGAGAGAAGAACCCAGAAAAAAGCAGGGGCTGCTATTCTATTTGCAGACAAAGTGGATTTCAAGCCAAGACAGATTAAGGAAGACAAAGAAGGTCACTACATCCTTGTAGAGGGAACAATCCAAGAGGAAGAGATAATGATCATAAATATACATGCACCAAATATCAGTGCACTCAACTATGTAAAACAAGTATTAACAGACATGAAAAATCAAATAAGCACTAATACAATTGCAATGGAGGACCTCCATACCCTACTGTCACAAATAGATCAACTAGAAAACAACAAAGAAAAAACAACAAAGAAATATCAGAACTTAACCAAACTTTTGGGTTTTTTTGATACCAGGAATCAAACTTGGGTCCTTGCACTTGTGCAGCAGGCGGCGAAACCACTGAGCCAAATCCCGGCCCTTAACCAAACTTTTGAACAAATGGACTTAGTAGATCTCTACATAGTGTTCCACCTGTAACATCAGAATACACATTCTTCTCAGCTGCATATGGGACAATCTCCAAAACAGACCATATACTAGCCCATAAAACATGCTTAAGTAAATGCAAAGGAATTGAAATTATCCCATGCAAATCATCAGAGCATAGCACAATGAAATTGGGAATCAATGGCAAAATAAACCACAAGAACTTTATAAATACATGGAAACTAACACACTCCTGAACAACCAATGGGTCTCAGCTAAAATTAATAAAGAAATCAGACAATTTCTACAATTAGACAATAATCCCAATTCAACATACAGGAACTTATGGTACACAATGAAAGCAGTCCTATGAGGGAAATTTATTAGCAGTGAATTCCCATATCAGAAAAAGAGCGAGCTCATATAACCTAATGTTGAACCTCAAGTTTCTAGAAAAAGAAGAGCAAGTCAACCCCAAAGCTTGTATGAGGGAAGAAATTATAAAGATTAGAGCACAAATTAATGTAATGGAAACTGAGAAAGCAATACAAACAAAGAGCTGGTTCTTTGAAAGATTAAATAAAATTGACAAACTCTTAGCCATATTATCAAAAAAAAAGAAAGAAAAGATCAAATCCATGCAATTAGGAATGAAAAGGGTAAAATCACAGCAGAAATCCAGAAGATCAATACTACTTTGAGAATCTGTACTTTTTTTTTTGAGAATCTGTATTCTAATAAGATGGAAAACACAGAAGAAATGGACAGATTTCTAGACACATATGAATTACCAAAGCTGAATCAAGAAGATACAAAAATTCTAAATAAGACAATATTAAGTCAATTAAATTGAAGATGCAATTAAAAACCTACCACACAGAAAAGCCCAGGCCCTAAGAAAGAAAGAAAGAAAGAAAGAAAGAAAGAAAGAAAGAAAGAAAGAAAAGCCCAGGTCCTGATGGATTCACTGCCAAATTCTACAAGAAATTTAGACAACATCTAATGCCGCTACTTCTCAAACTCTAATGACATTGAAAGGGAAGCAATATTCCCAAATGCATTCCTGGCAGCAAGCATTACCCTAATACCAAAACCAGAGATGGATCCAACCAAAAAAGAGTACTATAGGCCAATCTCCCTAATGAACATAGACACAAAAATCCTCAGGGAGATACTAGCAAATAGGATGCAGCAAATCATCAAGATTATACAACATGACCAAGTAGGATTCATCCCAGGGATGCAGGGATGGTTCAACATACTCAAATCAATAAATGTAATACACCATATTAACACAGCCAAGGACAAAAAAATATGATCATCTATCTCAATAGATGCAAAAAAAGCTTTTGACAAAGTATAACACCCATCATAAAAACTCTATTGAAAACTGGAACAGATGGTCTTTATCTCACTCTGATCAACGCCATCCATGACAAACCAACAGCCAACATCATACTAAATGGACAAAAACTGAAAGCTTTCAATCTAAAATCAGGAACAAGATAAGGAAGGGAAGTCCATTGTCACCACTCTTATTCAGTATAGTTCTGGAAACATTAGAGCAATTAGACAAGAGAAAGAAATAAAAGGTATAAGGATAGGAAAGGAAGAAGTTAAATTATCATTATTTGCAGATGACATGATACTCCACATAGAAAACCCTCAAAACTCCACCAAAAGACTTTAAGATTTAATAACTGAATTCGGTAGAATAGCTGGATACAAAGTCAAAACTCAAAAATCAATAGCCTTCCAGGCCGGGGATGTAGCTCAGTGGTTCCGTTGCCTGCTGTGCAAGTGCAAGGACCCGAGTTCGATCCCCGGTACCAAAAAAACCCAAACAATAGCTTTTCTATATATGAATAACAACTCACTGAGAGAGAAATTAGAGAAACAGCACCTTTTCCAATAGCATCCAAAAAAACTGAAATACCTAGGAATCAGTCTAACAAAGAAAGCAAAAGAACCTTACAGGGAAAGGGCCGGGGATTTAGCTCAGTGGTTTTGCTGCCTGCTCCGCAAGCGCAAGGACCCGAGTTTGATTCCCAGTAGCCAAAAAAAAAAAAGAACTTTAGAGGGAAAACTACAGTAATCTGAAAAAGGAGATTGAAGAGAGTATCAGAAAACAGAAAGATTCCCCTTTTTCTTGGGTAGGAAGAACCAGGATAGCGGAAATGGCCATACTTCCAAAACTGTTATGCAGATTTAATGCAATCCTGGTCAAAATACCAACACAGTATCTCATAGAATTAGAGAAAACAATCCTAAAATTCATTTGGAACCAGAAGATACCTAGAATAGCAAAAGCAGTTCTGGGGAACAAAGACAAGGCAGGGGGCATCACAATCCCTGACTTGAAATTATACTACAAAGCTACTGTGATAAAAAAGCATGGTACTGTTTAAAAACAGACCTATGGAACAATGGAACAGAATAAAAGGTGCATAAACAACTCCAAACATACTCAGCCATTTTATCTTTGACAAAGGAACTGAAGACTTTCACTAGAAGAAAGATAGCCTCTTTAATAAATGGTGTTGGGACAAACTAGTTTTCCACATGCTGAAGATTAAAACTAGACCCATGCAGGGCTGGGGATTTAGCTCAGTGGTTTTGTCGCCTGCTGTGCAAGTGCAAGGACCCAAGTTCAACCCCTGGTACCAAAAAAAACCCCCCAAAAAACTAGACCCATGTTTTTCACCATTCACTAACCAAAAATCAAAATGGATCAAAGATCTAAATATTAAAACAGTGAGGGAGAAAGGAAGGAACAAGAAAAAAAGTGAAAATAGAAGGAAAAAATGGAAACAAAGCTTCTGTAAATAAGGAGAAGAGGGGTAGAAGGGGGAGATGAGAAAAGAAGAGGAACCAAGATATATTATATACAGGTACAAATTCCCTATGATGAATGTTATCGTTATGTATATCTAAAATGTACCAATAAATATTTTGCTTAAAAAAAAAAAGTGGGCCAGGGATTTAGCTCAGTGGTTCCGCCGCCTGGCCTGCAAGTGCAAGGACCTGAGTTTGATCCCCGGTACCAAAAAAAAAAAGTAAGTGGCAAGAACTATGGGATGTGTTCAAAGAGAGGGGGAGCATTTTGCATGGGATTAATGATAATATGTTTTTCACTGTTAATACATTTTTAAAAAGAAAATTTAAATAACCACATGTTTTTATCATACTCCATTATACTTCCTTCTGTTGAAAGATACTGTTTTAAAAGAAATGAGAGGAACATAGAAACACTTGACTTTTTCAAATAAACTTTATTTTCCTGGGTAAAATTTTATGGATAAAGGAGTCTAATGACGTGTTTTTTTTGTTTTTTGGTTTTTTTCCTGGTACTGGGGATAGAACTCAGGACCTTGCACTTGCCAGGCAGGCGTGGCACCACTGAGCTACAACCCCAGCAATGACATGTATTTGAAAAGTGCAAGTTCAGGGAATAAACTCATGGAGTTCAGCTACATACTTTGAATTCCCATACTTCTAACTTACTAAATAGATGGCTGAGCAATTTACTTAGCCTACTTGTTCCTCAGCTCTCCTTTTCTTTTGGGGGAGAAATGATCTCACTCTGTAATTCAGGCTGGCCTTGAACTCTCTATGGAGCCAAGGGTGGCCTCAAACTCTCAGCAATCTTCCTGCCTCACCCTCCTGAGCGCTGGGATTACAGGAGTGCGCCACCATGCCCAGCAGTGGGCTATTCCAACTCCTCACTCATTACAGTTTGCAGTAACACAGAGACATGAAATCCTCAAAATCGAGGGCTGGGGATTTAGGTCAGTGGTTCCGCTGCCTGCCTCGAAAGTGCAAAGTCACAAGTTCAATCCCCAGGACCAAAAAAAAAAAAAAAAAATCCTCAAAATCTAGTGCTACAAATGTATTGTGCATATCCTTTTTTTGATTTCTTAAATTCTATTTTGATTCTTTTTTTTTTTTTTCCAGTACCAGGGATCGAACTCGGGTCCTTGTGCTTGCGCAGCAGGTGGTGAAACCACTGAGCTAAATCCCCGGTCCTCCATTTTGATTCTTTTACCATCTTTTAATTTAAATTTATTAACACTATAAAAAGGCTAAAAAACACAAAACTATAAAAAGGCTAATAGTTTCTAATCAACTGTATGCTACCCCAATTTATCACTCAGCTCCCACTCCCAGTCATGTGCTTACCAACATATGGTCCACTGGCACAGAACTTCTTTTGGGACAACCGCAGTAATCTGTCATCTTCTACCTAAAGAAGTAAAACATTTTCTTGGTGGGGGCAACACTTCTGGAGAAAGCAGGTGATAGGACTAGTGCGACCAAATGCCTCCTGAGTCTCCCAAATGCAACGGAGACAGAGAGATGATACTAGAGAATGGGAGATTAGCCACCATTTTTCATTCAGCCCTTGAAATAAAAATATTCTAAATAAAAGGTCTAGTTCTATGTAATTACAATTTGACCCTTCAAAAGGGTATGTATCCAGATGAGAATAAGTTTCTAAATGCAAAGTGTTAGTTTTCAAAGGTGCATACAACAAATAAAGCAAGTTATATTCATCTTTACAGGGAAAGGTCAGGCTGTAGCCTTCCTATCTCCAGGAAGCAGCAGCTCAGATGACCAGGTGGTTCTGATACTCAGAATCCAAGTTTTGGAATGCTTTACAAACATGAGGGAAGCACACATCTCGTTTCAAAGGATGAGTTTTTGAAATGAAACAGTATGTGTATGGGCGTGCTGCAAATAACTAAAAAGAAGCAACAATAGCAAGTTCATGTATTTAAAAATATTTCAATATGCATCATTTGTTTGCTTTATCATCAGTTACTACACTCTAGAAAATTTCAAATCACACAAGACAGAACAGCTTTAAGATCACCTAAACTAAATGTAAAACTAGGCCTGTGACTTTCATGGATAACCTGACTCTAAGAAACAAGGTTTAAAAACATGAAGTGTTTGAGAAAACAATGGTCACTTTTAATGCCATAAAGAAATCCCCCCCTCCCCTGTCCCAGGGATCAAACTCAGGACCTTGCGCTTGTGAGGCAGGCACACAGCCACTGAGCTACATTCCCGGCCCAAGAAATTATTAACTAAGTTTAATATTACATCACTGATCAGTTATGTATCATGCAGGATTCCTTTAAAAAAGTAGAAAACTTGATTCGGAATTAAAGCAAAAATATTTAAAATTGGGGGATGTAAATTGAGAAATAAATCACTGTCAAGACACTATATCTTCTAGAGCTCTTATTCTTAAAAGAATTGAGACTCACAGCTATCCTTTTTCATATGTGTTGTACTTGAAATTGAACCCAGAGCCTCATGCATGCTACATTTATCTACGTTCCCAGCTCCCTTTTTATTTTATTTATTTTCTGAGACACAGTTGCAATCTTCTTGCCTCAACCACCCAAGCAGGTAAATTGCAGGTGCTCTGCCGGCCTTTTTGCTGTAATGTAAAATGGAGGATGAGGTGGCTGTGCACATGGACATAATAAAACAAAGCAAAGAAAGCAAGACCTTGAACGTAGCTGGATGGAAAAGTTAACTGAGTTTTAGTAATGCTGAGAAGCACTGGGGCATTACTGTTTTGTTTTGGGGGTCTTTTGGTGGTACTGGAGATTGAACCCAGGGCCTTCATGCTGAGATACATCCCCAGGCATTTTAAGTTTTTTATTTTGAGATAAGTCCCAGCTAAATTGTTAAACTGTCCAAGGCTAGGCTTGAACTTTCAATCTTCCTGCCTCAGATACCCAGAGTTCTGGGATTACCATGGTGTGCCACCACAACTGGCTTCTTTTGTTCGTCTCACTGGTGAACTATTATGCTCTTAAAAGTGTGCTCTGCTGGGCCGGGGATTTAGCTCAGTGGTTCTGGCACCTGACTCTCAAATGCCCAAGGTCCCAAGTTCGATCCCCGGTACCAAAAAAAAAAAAAGTGTGCTCTGTTGAAAAAAAAAACTTATGACTGAACAGCCTTCTTTATGGGTAATCATTAAATATTAATAGCTTCTTTTCCCCCTTCTTGTGGCAGTGAGGATTGAACATAGGGCCTCATGCTTTCAAAGCAAGGGCTGTACTACTGAGCTACATACCTAGTACTTTTTGAAAATTTTTATTGTTAAGGTCTCATTAACCAGTTAACCAGACTACCTTGAACTTGCAATCCTCTGATTCAGCTTCCAAGTAATACTAGCAGAGTTTTTTGTTTCAGATTTTTTGAGACAAGGTCTTGCTATGTAGCCCAGGCTGTCCTCATGCTGCTCCTCCTGTCTCTGCCTCCTAAGTGCTGGGATTACAGGCCTATGCCACTACACCTGGCATGATTACATGATTAACAGTTTTTTGTTGTTTCTGTTTGGGGGGGGGACCTCCCCTTATGTATTTCAGCCTGGCCTTGAACTTACTATGCAGTCCAGGGTGGCCTCAAACTTACTATGCAGTCCAGGGTGACCTCACAGCAATCCTCCTGCCTCAGCCTCCTGAGTGCTGGGATTATAGGCGTACACCACTGTTTTGTTCTTTTTTTACCTACCAGGGATTGAACTCAGGACCTTGCACATGCAAGGCAGGCGGGGAACCACTGAGGTAAATCCCCCAGCCAAGATTAACAGCTTTGAGGAATGACATCCCCAGAGATGAAAGGAGCAATCTTTGTTTTGCTAGGTTTTTTTTTTTTTTTTTTTTTTTGGTTTTTTTGAGCTTTGGGTCTCATTATGTGGTTCGGATTGGCCTTGAACTCACAATTCTCCTGCCTCAACTTCAAGAGTGCAAGGTTTACAGGTATAAGCCACAATGACTAGATTGTATGGTAATATTTATTTTGGGTTTTTTTGTTTTGTTTGTTTTGTTTTGTTTGAGACAAGGTCTCCCTACATAGTTGAGGCTGGTCTTGAACTCACTATATAGTCCAGGATGGCCAGGAACTTGTGGTGATCCTCCTGCTTCAGCCTCTTGTGTGCTGGGATTACAGGTGGGTGTCATCTTGTCCCAGCTTGTATGCTAATACTCTCACGCAGGTAAAGAGCAAACTACTTAGTCTGTAAGGAGAGCCAGTGTCAAGTATGACTAGTCATCTCCAGTAATAGACTGGTGCAAAGCAGAGAGAGAAGGCTGCAACAGAAGGGTCACAATGGTAGGCCACTAAGCTTGCAGGTATTCTTTTCTACCAAACAAGATCAATTGTATTTCCTAAACTGCCCTTTCAAATTCTAACAGCCAGAGAAAATTTCCAGGGTGCATGGTTTATTATAGAACCCATTCATGTTTAAAGTTAAGATATAGCTCTGCAAGAGTAACTTGCGAGCTTCCACATTAAAATGCTCCATGTAAATTTAGGTACAGTTTGAGAATATAGGGGCTGGTTTACAAGTCACCTAGAATACCTCCAATACCAAAAAGCAAATTTGCTAACTTATATTGCCACACCGAGAAAAGTCTTGTAAAACACAGTTTTATAGACAATGCAGGATCACAGGGGAAAATAAATCCTCCTAAAAAATGAAAACAAATTAATTCTGCATGCAGCTCACAAAACCTCGGTGAAGGCATTTAAGAGGACAATTTCACAACCGCATAACTGTGTTCACTCACCTGCTCTGCTTCCACGTAGATGAGAGGGAATCCCATCTGTTTGGTCCAGGTACTCATCACAGCTGCTATAGGTTTACCACTAGCATTTTCTAAACTTTCCCAAAGATCCTCTAGAAAGTAAACATAAACAATGATAATCTAAAATGTTTATACACATAGGGAGGGGGATTTAACTCAGTGGTTCTGCTGCCTGCCTCACAAGCGGAAGGACCCGAGTTCAATCCCCAGTACCAAAAAAAGAGATTAAATAAATAAAACGTTTATATGCTTACTTTCCTATAACAAATCAAATATTTAACTTGTAACGCTGTGTTGTGGGCCAATTCTTTAGTACTTTCAGGTTCAAGAAACAGCAGGCCAAATTACTGTGCTCCTCTCCCTCACCTGCAACTAAGTTAATTCTATTATAAAAACTGGTCTTTAGGGCCAGAGACTTAGCTCAGTGGTTCCACCACCTGCCTTGCAGGTGGAAGGACCCGAGTTCAATCCCCAGTACCAAAAAAAAAACCTGGTCTATAAGATGTACTTAGTTAAAAAAAAAAAAAAAAAAAAAAGATGTACTTAGCTATTTGTAGTGAATTAGAAAACATTTAAAAAAGTATTATAAACCAAACACAAACAGATGAGGCTTACCAAGAAACAGGAACAAAAAGAAACATGCTCGGGCCGGGGATTTAGCTCAGCGGTTTCACCACCTGCTGCACAGCGCAAGGACCCAAGTTCGATCACCAAAAAAAAAAAACCAAAAAAAAGAAAAAAAAAAAAGAAACACGCTCAAGCTTACACCTTCATCATTCACAAACTTAAAGCTGTTATGTATGTTCAATTAACCACAGTTAGTATTGTATGAAGACAGACATTAGCACTCCCCTTGACAAGGATGGAAGAGGCGCTCGCTCAGGCCTCACAACACGCATATGGTTAAGGTACTGCCACCTACTTCATGGCATCAATTCGCCAAAGTTAAAAAATACTCAGTGTTGGGCCAGGGGTTTAGCTCAGTGGTGCCGCACCTGCCCAAGGTCCTGAGGTTCAATTCCTGGTACAAAAAAAAATTACAAAACAAAATACTCAATGTCGATGAAACTGAAGTAAAAACTCCCATGGTCAACATCACTAGTGGTAGAGAAAGCAAAGCAGCAACATAATGTTTATGTTCTATAATGGTGGCATGCACAGAGGAGAACCATATAAAGAAAAACCCAAAGAAAAGAAAGACGTCACAAGAGATGATTATTTATTTTTTGCCATACTAGCGATTGATCCCAAGGCCTCCCCAATTGCTAGGCAAGCACTCTACCACTGAGATACATCCTCAGTCGTATTTTTTATTTTATTGAGACAAGAGTCTCACTACACTGCCCAAACTGGCCCCAAATTCAATCTGCCTGCCTCAGCCTCCTAAGTAGCTGGGATTACAGGTACCACCACACCCCATGACAGAAGGGGCGATATTTGGTCTGCGTTTTGACGAGTTGTTTATCAGACAGACAAGGGGAAAAAAGGGATTTCAGGCAGGCAAAATAAATGTTATGTACAAACAGGAAAGCATAAGAGAGAAATATCAACAACAGGAATACACTCCATGAGCTCGTGAAAAGAGGGCACATGAGCAGAGATAGTAATGGAAGATAAGACCAATAAATTAGGCAGAAGCTGAACTGTTCAAGACTGGAAGGTTTCCAAAGAGGCTTAATTTCTTCTCTTTTTTTTTTTTTTTCGCAGTACTGGGGATTGAACCCAGGACTGCTGAGCTAGATCTCCAGATCATTTTTTATTTTTATTTTTTTGAGACAAGGTCTCACTATATAGTTTAGGCTGCCTTTGAACTTACTATGTAGCCCAGGCTGGCCTTGAACTCATGGTGATCCTTCTGCCTCAGCCTCCAAGTGCGAGGATTACAAGAATGTGCTACCACGTCTGGCTAATTTTTAATTTTTTGGTACTGGGGATCGAACTCAGGACCTCACACTTGGGAGGCAGGTGTGGTGCCACTGAGGTAATTCCCCGGCCCTTTTATTTCTTAAATGACAACACAAAATACATAAATGGTGCCGCTTATTATTCATGTAAAAAAATATTACAATTAACACAGACTCAAGTTACACCTCTCAAC